GGCAGTGGGTGTGGTTTGGGCTTTGCTTCTGTGAAGATTGACAGCCTGGGAGACCCTGTGGGCAGTTCCACTCTGTCCTCTAGGGGCGCTGTGGGTCAGAATCAACTCCACGGCAGTGGAGAAGAGAGGTGTCATTTTTCCTCTGCTGCTTTCAGGGTTTTTCCTTTGTGTTTAGTTGTCAGAAGTGTGACTGTGCTATGTCGTGGCAAGGATTTCTCTGGGTTTAAGCCATGTGGGGTTCACTGAGCTTCTTGAATCTACAGGTTTAAGTTTCTTGCCAAATTTGGGGCGTTGTCAGCCATTTACTTCTTCATGTACTCTGTCAGCCCTGTCCTCTGTGTCCTCTCCTTCCAGGACACACATAATTGATCCCACAAATGATGACACAAATACCTGCTGTCTGTTATCTCTCTCAGGTCCCTGGGGCTCTGCGCCCCGCCAGTCTAATCCCCCGTTGTTCATAGCGTGTCACTACCACTGTTCTACCTCCTAGGTGACCGAATGTCCCGTCCACCCCCCCTACCCCCACTGCTGAGCCTTCCTGCCACTATGTTCTCCCAAGTACTGAAGTCGACGTCAATGATCACATTTTTCGGTCTACCGTCTCTGGGGGCTCTTCTTCACGGCGCCTGTAGCTCTCCTGAGATTTCCCCCTCTGTGCTGAGGCACTGTGCTGAGGCTCTGTGCTTCTTTGTGGAGCACCCTGTAACTGCTCATGGAGGCAGTACTCTCACGGCTGCTTTAATCTAACCTCTTGGTCACTTCAGCATTGCATCCACTACCTATCTCTTCTCTAATCCTTTGAGATCTTCTTGATTCCTGGCATGAGAAGTGACTTGCAATGAAGACCTTGGCATGTGGCCATCACTGTCTGAGACCGTGGCTCTTCTCTGTTTCAGGTCTGACGCTGCCCTGGCAGGAGCAAAGACGCCCCCACCGTATCACTGCCACGTGGCAGTGCAAGTCCCAGCTCCCCCCACCTCCACCAGTATCTGCGGAAAGGTGGTCCTCGTCACGGGTGGGCAGGGACAGGGTGGCTGGTTCCCTGTGTGGCCTCCACTGGCACTACAATGGAGGTGGCCTCATGGCCCCTGGCAGTGGTGAGTCCTGAATGCACTAGGCCTCCTCTAACAGGACCCCAGAGGGAGAGGAAGGGACGTCACATGACTGCTGGGAGGGTGAGTGCCGGCTCCCAGTGCTCTCCGATGACATCATAGAAGGGCCTCATTACAGGTCTGCAGAAGTGCAAGCCCCGGGCTCTCCCTGGATCTTCTCGGACGCCGCTCTGGTGGGGAGCTGCGCGCCTGGCGCTCCTCTCTCGACGGTGGAAGCCCAGGTAGCCCCTCGGCCTTTGCTCTTGTGGGGGGGCTGCAGCTTGTCCTGTGCATTTTTGGCTGCAGCCCAGCAGTCACTGTGTAAGCCGCTCCCCTGCGGCTGCTCCGGCTGGACGGCGGGCCTCTGCCTGGGCTTGTGGGCATTTCTAGGGTGCTTCCTTCTCCAGCTCCAAGCCTGGGATGGGAAGGGGAGACGTCCAGGGAACCCACGACCATGTGGTCTTCAAGTCCCACCATCCCTAGCCAGTCCCCCTTGACATCAGCTTTAAGTGTCTTTGAGCTCTGAGTCCAATATGGCACTCTGTGGCACTACCGGTCCACTGTCTACATGTTCAAGTCCAGCTTTTGCCTCTCTGGTCCCATAATCAGTGACTGAAAGTCCTACCTCTCTGGTCCCTGTGGCTCTGCTCTGTGCCTCTATGTCTGATGCCTGTCACTCACAGCGTCCCATCTCCTCAGTCACCGGATTATCTTTGACTGTGTGACAGACACTGGACTTGAGCTGTGGAAGTAACCTGGGCCTTGACCAACACTATCTTCCCACAGAAAGGACCTCCTGTTTGCTTTTGCAGGTGCCTGGGCAGTACCCAGGGTCACCTACAACCCACGTTCAAGGCCTGCCCCAGGTATTACTAGTTGGGTAGCAGTCGCAGGGAGAGATGTCTGGTTTCAGTTTATCCGTAATTACCCACCAAGTGCATCCTTCGGGGGTCAACTCAGGGCCAGCCACGGCCATCTCAGCAGGCCCCAGACACCAGCTTCTATTCGAACCTCCAGAGCCCCAGAGGGCCCCAAAAGCATAGCTCGGCCTCTCAGGCACATTTTTCAGAAGAGCACACCCCAGACCAAAACTACCCAGCCCCCTTCCCCTGTTCTGGGCCTCTCCTGCTCTGAGCCTCGTCCTACTGGCTCTTGGCTGTGTTTCTGATTTTTGTAACAATTTCACCCAGTTTTCTTGGCTGTTCAGTGGGAAGACTATCCCTGTGCACTCAGTCTGCCACTGTGAGGCGCAGAAAACCACACTTAACTCGGTCTGCACCAAGGGGAGCCCCTGCCAACCTCCCCAACAAACGTATTGCTCATGCAGCCCCCAGAGCTGCAGACACTCGACTGCAACCTCTGGGTCACTGCTCAGACCTCCCCGTGTGGTGACAAGTGCTGGCTGGGGACAAAAGGCTACTACCCATCACAGCCACGCCCACCATCAGGACAGGAACCCAGTATGCCAAGGTTCCATGATGCTAACGAAAAATCATGTGGGCAGCTTGAGGGGACAAGCAAACCAAGAGTCTGCCTCCTGACGGGGCCGGGGTGAGAGGGACAGAGGTGGCTCTTATCCCAGACAGCACTTAGCAGTGTGAGAGCCAAAAGGCTGCAGACCACAGCCGGGGGCCGAGGAGCTGGCTGAGGCACTATTTTCAAGCGTCTTGAGCACCCTGGACTCCCTCTCGGCCTGTTCAGCCCTCCTCACTCCCACACGAGCATCGCGGCAACCAGGACAGCGGGCACCACGCCATTACCTTCTCGTGGATCTCCTGCGTGGACTGGGCATCACAAAATGCCACGGTGGCAACATCCTTCAGGATGGGCATCTCCACCGTGCAGTCCCGGCCGTCGAGCAGCGCCACCAGGGGTCGGGGGTGCAGGGGCCCGTTCATGATCGGAGGTCGGACGCCTGGAACGAGAGCAGGGGACACTCAGCTTCCCTGCAGGAGCACAGTCCCCTGGCTAACCCTACCCACAGCTGCGCTCTGCCCGCCAGGCTGAGGAGAGCTGACCTCCTGGGAGTACGCTGCTCTGAATGCCCCGTCATGGGGGAGTCTCATTAAGTCCCAGGTCACAGGAAGGGCCCGGAGGGTGCACTACAGCTTCCCGTCACCCAAGCGGACCCAGACTGAGGGTGGCCATCACTACCCTCACAGGGCACGGGGCCATGGGGACCGCAGCAGCTCTGTGACAGGGAGTAGGGTGGGGAGGCACGCAGTCCATGGTCGGGCAGGGCCTTCCACAGCTACTGGCACTGGAAGAGGAGATTGCAGTGTGATAGGCTTTAGGAAGACGCCCTGTCCCTGCTCTCCTGCCCCTACGGCAGCGCAGTCACTCGAGTCCCTGATGGTGACAGCAGGCTCCAGCCTCTTCCCCACTGCTGTCGTGGTTTGCACGTGTGGATTAGAAAGTGCAGGAGGCAGTGACCAGGTGAGAGTGGGTTAGCCCACAGGGGCAGTGACCAGGTGAGAGTGGGTTAACCCACAGGGAAGCACAGCCCTCACCACTCGCCACCCCACAGCAGAGTGAGGGGAGCGACAAGAACGCCTCCTTCCCAAGAGCCCACAACGGCCCCGACGCACAGCGCCACCACTTGTCAGAGGCCTGCGGGCTGCTGTGAAGCCCAACAGGCGTCAGCAGAGCTTCCAAACTAAGACGGACTGAAGAAAGGCCTGGCGCTGAACTCCGCAAACTGGCCGCTGCAGAGCCCATGGGCCACGTGGTCTGATCCACCACCGCCCACAGGGATGGCGCAGACATCGTCTCACTGTGCTGTGCCAAGGTCACTGGGAGTTGGGGAACGACTCGGCAGCAGTGCACCTCACTTAAAGGCCCACGTGGAGGAAGGAGGCCTCGGCGAGCATGGACACCCTGGGTGAGGAGGGCCCCTGGCCAGAAGCACGCCCTGCCCCACTAGACCCCACTTGGTCAATGGCAGAGCTGGGACAGGGGCCCGGGTTCTGTCCACTCATGTGGGGCCTCACCAAGACTCATCTGAGAGGGCCAAGCACAGAGGGAACAGGACGAGGACCAAAAGCCTCGGTGACTCCTGACCGTGGCCTACAGAGACCCGCACCCCAGCCCCGGCCCATGGCAGCTGTCTACTGAGCCTACGCCTGGCTTAGGGTACGTCGCAGGCTTGGCCCAGGGTTGCCAGGGGTCGGGGGGCTGATGGCACGGCCAAGCGTGCACCGTGCAGGACAGTCACTGCTGCACTCTGCAAAGGAGCCTGGCTATCACGTCAAGTCCCAGCAGGGGGACACTGCCCAAGACCCCAGAGAGGACGGGGCCACCATGAGGGCTACGTACCCCGGACCAGCCACACGCCTGCCCCAGGCCTTTCCCTCTCACTTTCCCCCACAAACAGTGTGCCCCAGAGCCTGCCAAGGTGACACAGAACCCAGCTGTCAGCTAGCAGCCACACAGAAAGAGGGCTCCCAAACCCGTCCAACAGTACCCGGCTCTCGCTGACTGCCGTGTGGAAATGGTCATCTTTCATTAAGGAAGAGCCCTCATTTGTCACAGGACGGCTTTACTCTTGAGGGAGGAAGTGATAAAAACGCATTTTGGGAGCTGCCATCTTCCTTTCTAACGAGGTAAGTATCAGCAAATGTAACTCACCAACGAAAGCTTTTGGGGCCTCAATCGTTAAGAACGTGAAGGAGGGCCTACCCCAGACAGTCTGAGACAACTGCCCAGGTGAGGCCGTGGCAAACAGGACCGCTGGCTTGGCCGGAGGGCAGGCAGAGCGCAGCCCGTACTGCCCAGGTGCCACACTGCAACCAGGCCGTCTGCACCGACACTCAGCGCCTGGGCTCGCGGACGGAAGGGAGAGCAGACCAGCTGGCCCGGGCCTCACCTGGCCCTCTCCTACTCGCTGGCCATCAATCTCAGAGCTTCCCCTGGGGCCTCGTGCACCTTCCGGGACCCACACCCTCAGTCAAACGCACGTGCAGCCCAGCCGGAGCCGGCCCAGCACCTCTCTCAGGCCCCGTCTGACAGAAACACCCCCACAGCACAGCGTTACAGACACCTGACCAAGCCCAGGGACCTAAGACTGAGCTGGGTGGTGCTGGCTGCCACCAGGCATCAGAGCCACCTGCCCAAGACCGGAGGAGACACTCACTCGATCGGACGTCACTGACCTCAACGCTCCGCGCACAGACTGGTAAAAGGGCAGAGGACTACTGACCAAATGACCACAGCAAGAAGGACCGGCGACCCGAGCCCAGGGCCCACGCCAGGACCACCACATGGGAAGGCCTCTCCGAGCCTCTCAAGGATGTTCAGGGAGCGTGGACTTTGTTGTTCCCTGCTGAGGAGTCGACTCCGACTCACGGCAGCCCCGCGTGTTTCAGGGTGGAACTGCCCCGTGGGATGTTGGAAGCCGTGACCCTGAGGAAGCAGATCACCTCAGCATGGGTGTGAACTGCCAACCCTGGGGCTGGTAGTCCAGCGCCCACGTGCCACCCGGGGTTTGGACTGTGAAGGCCCCACAGTGCACACACTCCCCGAGGTGATCCTCTGTGCGCATTTGCTAGGGGCGGATCATCGTCTGACTGCAAACACCAGGACCCAGGACCAACCTGACATTTCCTAAAATGAGCTCGGTTTCCGCGACCATGAATTCGACTTTCCAAAGCTTTATATCTTCAGAACTCCCAGGCAGGTTAGCGTCCTGTCACTGGATCCTTATTCCATGTCCTTAATTTTTCTCGAACCAAAGCTCTTAAGCTTCTGATCCGCTGCAACCAGTGACGCCTGGGTCGGGTTCAAACTTTGACTAAAAATTAAGCACAAGAGACACATTAAAATACCATCGGAGGCTGAAGGAAAGTCACTAAAATACTGTCGGGGCTCTGAGGAAAACTCACAGGCAACAGGGGGTCCCAGGAAAGGGAGGCTCTTCTCTGTGTCCTCGTCCTCGGCCCTGCCCAGCACACACGGCCGCCTCCACCACAACCCAGCCGCCCCAGCCTCGCACCAACCAGGGCTGCCAGGCCTGCATGACAGGCAGGCAAGTGGCCAGGGCTGCAGACAGAGCGGGAAGCTCAGCCTCAATCCATCATCCCAAGGGCCCCTAACGTCACACAAATACAAACACAAATGGTCCCTCGGGGCTGCTGCCTGCCTTGAGAGGCTGGAACCACCCATGGCCCATGGCCCCTGGGTGGCAGGTGCCTGCCTGCACGGGCCTCTCAGCCCCACACACCCAGATGCCACTGGTGTCCAAGAACTGAAATGCCAAGTGCTCGAGGTACATGGGCCGAGGAGGATGCTGGGAACAAGCCCTCCCACACACATACCAGTTCTAGAAGCTTCTACCTTATGTTGCGGTGTGCGTCTCAGGCCCACTGTGGCCAGCCAGCAGAGTGGGTGCTCCAGCAATGCCGCCAAGGGCAGAGGGCTGCAGGGTGCAGCCGACACTACAGCCCTCAGGCACTGAGGCGGGGCCTCTCGCCCCAGGGCGGTGCATACCCAAGGCCTGGATGCCCTCCATGGCCAGTCCCAGTGCCCCTGCTGACCCTCAGCTGGCGCAGACGCCATCCTCCTAAATTGCTGCTCAGTGCCCCTGGCAGACCAAGGCTTCACCCCTGCCACCCACCCGCCCCGGCCTCTGGGGCCTCACTGGGGGGCTGATGTCGGAGGCTCAGCAATGCCCACCGCAGCACAAAGATCCTCATCCTAGAAGGCCTTTACAGCCTGGGTTTATAATTCCGCCCAAGGTGACTGGCTGACCAACAGCCTGCCCCGTGATGGGTCTGTTTCACACATAGTGCAGGGACCGGTCCATTTACTAGACAAACAAGCTGCACAAAAACACCCAACAGGATGGAATGCCCTCCAGGGATTAGTCAGTTTGTGGCCTGGTGGGAGGGCCCGCCTTAGAAATGGATTAGGAGCTTATTTAGGCAGGACCCCACAGGGTTTATTAGGGACAGAAATAATGGGAAATAGGATGTTAAAAACAAGAGCTGTAAGCAGGGCTAAGGGCTCCAACGCTGGCGACGGCAGAAGCGTCCACAGCCCAGCGGCAGAGCAGCAGGGGCGGCGGCGGCGGTCTGAGGGCAGAACCCCGGCTAGCGGACCGCTGCCCCGGCGCTCGCCAGCCCACCGGGCGGGAGCCAACTGAGCACTTCCGGGTGGGAGGCTTGCCGGCCAGCTGCTGCCTCCGGGCACCTGTGAGCGGAGCCACAGAGCTGGAGTGGGCCTGAGGAGCGCAGAGGCTCAGAAGGGCCCGCCAGCTGGCGCAGCCAGGAAGCAACCTCGAGCCGTCCTGGTTGACGAAGTGATCCTGTCTCCTGAGTTATATCCTGTTACTTCCAAGTTGATCCTGACCCTCAATGAAGCCTGTTACTTCCCTAATTAACCATGCAATCCTGAGTACGGTCTAGGAGTTCCTGTGGCGTCGCTACAGATGATCAAGCCCAGCAGACCAGGGCAGATGCTCAAGGGGACAGCTGGAGTCACACACGGTGAAGGACCGGCTGTGGCCGATCCTGGTTCTCACTCCTCGTGGATGCAGACGAGGTCTGGCACTAGATTACAGCCACACACGCGTGCACACGCACAGACACGGGCAAACGCTACCTCGCAAGTGCACACTCGGACCACCATGGAGGGACAGTCCCGGAGGACAGTGGGTCTGAGTGGGCTGCAAGAGGCCAGCAGATGTGGAGTGTTCATGACCGGCCCCGAACCTGGTCCTCGCTCTGCACGAGGCCACTACACAGGGGCTGGCACCAGGCTGCCCAGGACGAGGACCTGCCTATGAGCCC